AGGTGATATGGCTAGTGCCTGATGCTGATGATTATTAGTCAGGGGCATCCTAGTCATCTGAGAGCCACTAAACTTGGCATGAGAGCTTGCCAGTAGTGGCAACAATCTGACTGGTTGCAAGGGTACATGAAGAAGGGGGTACTAGCACTGGATCCCTGAGCAGCATGTGGTGAGATTGGTGTTTCAACGCTCCCCCTGATGAGTGAGGGCAGAGGCACAGAAAGGCTCGTACAACTGTGGGCACCCACCTCTAGACCTGAATTAGTGCACTCTGTCCCTGTGGGATGCTGAAGGACTTTCTCATTAGCATTCACTGATATAACACTTCTGAAAAAATGTACAGCTGCTCCACAGAGGTTACTCTTTTTCCTTTGCTGCTCTTGTGCTCAGGTTGCATTAATATTTTGCAGCCTCAACATGTACAAGATCTTTTCCTCTGTATTAAGGCCACAATTCACACTGGGGGTTCTGGTATTTCTGTGCATTTACCTCTTAGTTATTATGTTAGCAGAAGATGTCATGTGAATTCCTGCTCTGTAATGGACAACAATATCTACTAGTTCATGTATTTCTAATTTGGAAAGGTTAACAGTAGTTTTTTTCAGCCTGAAGGGATTCCTGTCCCAGCTCTTCAGGAGAGGGCAAAATTGGGAGAGAAGAGGAAAACTGTATGTGCCTGAATTCTCAACCAGAAAGCGCCGTCTTCTAGCTTCGCTCCATAGCCTATGTGACTTAACCTTACAGGTCTAAGGGCAGACAAAACTCAACACCCTCTGCTATTATTTCATTAAGTATTAACCCAATAGTCAATCAGAGCTATAGTCCTGCTGGAGATAACAGGATTCAGCTTCTGGAGGCATCTGGAGACCTAAATAAGCACAGGGGACATGGCAGTGCACTGGGGACATCAGGATGGGGCCAAGCTCTGTTTTGTGTAAATCTCCAGGTCTGAGAAAGCTGACAGTGCATCTCACTCTGTCTGCTTCTGCTTTGGTTACCCATCTTACAGCCTGAGTATCTGCAGAACACCTGGGGGTTTCACCTATACTGCAAGGACTTGAACCTGTCCGCCAAAAAGAGCTTGCAGCAGCCATGCACATTAACTTTACACATTGGGTGTTTGCTTCTGACAAGCAACTCTTCATATCTTTATGGCTAGACATTATTATATTGTTCTTTCATTTGATAACTGCTCCAGTAATAGCTTCCATTTGCAGTAAATCTCTTGTACTGCCTTTTTTTCCTCCCCATTAAGCATAAGACAATAACCTTTCCGGGAAGCTGTGTAGAGAGACTCAGTGAAGCTTTAAGAGGTGAGGGTAGACATGGGGGGCACAGCCAGCAGTAGCAAAGCACCTGATGGAAAAATGCTTTTGGAGAAATTGCAATTAAATCCTGAAGCACTTGAGGAAAACCTCCTGAGTATACAAGCTGAACTGGAAAACGAATATTTAAATGCCTCTTCAAGTTAGTAAGTCTTTGTAAAGTGCTGCTCAATACCTGGAAAATCTCTGAGACAAGAGAACAGACAAGTCTGGGTGTGACTGAATACAAATATTTGACTCTGTTATCCTGCCAGAAACACATGGCAGAGTCTATCCCAGTTAAATGGCTTTGCAGACACTAAAAAAAAAAAAAAAATTGATCAGCTCTCCCATGCACAGCTTCACCTTCCCTCGCAGTGCTATAACCCTGGGTTTGTGGTAAGCAGTACTGGTGCTTGCCCGGAAACCTGGGATGGAAGCAGGCAGAATCCCAAAGCTATGATGGAACACTCCAAAAGAATCACAGAATCATTAAGGTTGGGAAAGACCTCTAAGATCATCCAGTCTCTCCATCCACTTAACACCAATGTTGCCCAGTAAACCATGCTTCTTAGTACTACATCTACACATTTCTTGAACACCTCCAGAGGCAGTGACTCAACCACCTCTCTAGGCAGCCTGTGTCAGTGCCTGACCACTCTTTTGGAGTTTTTCCCTACATCCAACCTAAATCATCTCTGGCACAACCTGAGGCCACTGGCTCTTGTCCTACTGCTAGTTACATAGGAGAAGAGGCTGACCCTGACCTTACTACACTGTCCTTCCAGGTAGCTGTAAAGGGCAGTAATGTTTCCCAGAAGCCTCTTCTTCTCCAAACACAACAATCCCAGTTCCCTCAGCCACTCCTTGTGCTCCAGCTTTATCCAGCCCTTTCCTGGATACGCTCCAGGGCCTTGATATCTTTCTCTTAGTGAGGGGTCCACATCTGAACGCAGTACTTGAGGTGTGGCCTCAGCAGATTTGAGGACAGAGGGATGATCACATTCCTGATCCTCCTGCCAACACTATTTCTGATACAAGCCAGGATGCCATTGACCTTCTTGGCCACCTGGGCACACTGCTGGTTCATGTTCAGGTGACCACCGATGAATGCTCCCAGGTGATTTTCCTTTGCACAGTCTTCCAGCCACCTGCCCAAGCCTGTAGTGTTGCATGGGGTTGTTGTGACCAAAGTGCAGGCCCCTCAGCACTTGGTGTTGTTATTACAACCCCCTGTCATCTGCACACTTATTGAGGGTACACTCAGACCATCAATAAAGACATTAAACAGGATGGACCCAAAAATCGACCCCTTGGGAATACCATCTGTGACCTGTCGCCAGCTAGATTTAACTCCACCACTCTCTGAGCCTGGAAATCCAGCCAGTTCTTTACCCAGCAAAGAATGTACCTGCCCAGGCCATGGGCTTCCAGCTTCCTTAGGAAAATACTGTGGGTGACCATGTCAAAGGCTTTGCTGAAGTCCAGGAAGACAACGTCAACAGCCTTTCCCTCATCCACCAGGCGAGTCACTCGGTCATAGAAAGAGATACGGTTGGTCAAGCAGGACCTGCCTTTCATGAACTCATGCTTACTGGGCTTGATCCCCTTGTTGTCCTGCACATGCCTTGTGATCTCACTCAAGATGATCTGTTCCATAACTTTCCCTGGCACTGAGGTAAGGCTGACAGGCCTGTAGTTCCCCAGATCCTCCTTAAGACCCTGCTTTAGATGTCACATTGGCAAGCCTCCAATCCTTTGGGACTTCTCCAGTTGACTAGGAATGTTGATAGATGGTGGAAAGCAGCTTGGCAGTCACCTCTGTCAGCTCCCTCAGCACCCTCAGGTGAATCCCATCTGGTCCCATGGACTTCTGATAGTCTAGATGGAGTAGGAGGTCTCTGTCTCTACCTGAATCATGGGGGATTTATTCTTCTCCCCATCCCAGATTTCCAGGTCAGGCAATAAGTACACTGAGGACAACTGGTCTGACTATTGAAGACAGATATAAAGAAGACATTGAGAACCTCAGCCTTTTCCTTATCCTCAGTGGTCACATTCCCCACCATCTCCAGTAAAGGATGGAGATGCTTCTTAGCCGTTCTCTTACTGCTAATATATTTGGGAAAAAAAAAAAAAAAAAAAAGATGCTTTCTTTTACCACAGTGGCCAGGTTGAGTTCAAGCTGGGCTTTTGCCTTTCTAAACTTCTTCCTGCACATTACAACTTCCTTGTAGTCTCTTGGAGATGCCCATCCTTTCTTTTTTCTTTCACAGGAGGTAGGCTCTCTTTTTCTCCTAGTCTCATCAAAAACTCCCTGTTCATTCACGTTGGTCTTCTTCCCTGTTCCCTCATCTCAAAGCACTCAGGGAAAGCCTGCTCTCATATGCCTTTAAGACTTCCTTCTTGAGGAGCATCCAGCCTTTTTGGAGAGGCCTTCACTGCAACTGTTCCTGGGCTATGAGTGCAACAGCTTCAGCACAAGGAAAGAAGACACAAACATGCAGTCACACCAGAAGTACTTGCTTTTTTCCTCTCCTGCTGAAAGATGATTTGGTGGCAACATACTCCAGTTCTGCTCAGGTCTAGCTCATATGGTAGCTTGTTTGCTCTGGAGTTGGGCTGAAAGTTGTCAACAAAATGCAGCATTGGATAACTAGCACATCTCTGAGGAATATACACAGAGGTTTTCTTGACTTGGAAAAGTAACCACTTGCCTGTATGCTTTGAACCAGGTTGGCGTTCTTTGAGACATGAAAGGTATTCATGATCCAGGCTTCTGTGAGCAGCTGAGCAAACTGGGCAGGAAACTCAGGAGAGCTTTGAGTATCCCAAAAATCTGTCCTGCTGAGCTCACACTGGGACTATGATCCACACAGCCTGAAGGTGAGGAGGACTGAAAGCAACTAATAACACTTCAGCAGTGGGCTGAATCCATTTAGTTCATAATGGAGGTGTGATCTGGCTGTAGCAGACCTGCCTTATTTCAAGGTAAGAATGAGTTCACCAATGGTCTGTGCATGCTTTTAAAGCAGGATGTACAAATCAGGTGAGCGTAATGAGTAGTTCCATGGCCAGAGCATGTTTCTCCACCATGGGATCACAAATCCAGGTTGCAAAAAGTCTTTTTCAAAACAAGAGACGTGGGTTTCTCTCTGCCATTTACCACTCTGAATTACCTGAGCTGCAAAAAGGCCTTCTACCTTCCATCTGAAAACAGGATGGAAAATTACAACAGTTATCCAGGTTTAACCCCGCTGCTTAAATTCACTTCAGACAGTGAATATTTTTGTTAGCCTTCCAAGTCCCAATTAAATACTCGTTTGCACACTGTAATTTAAAGCATGTCCTCTGCTGATGAAAGCCCTAAGAGCTATAAGGTGTGTACATATATGGTCATTAGAGTTGCTGGGTAGTTCCGTATCTACTTTAATATCTAAAATATTTAAATAGGATTATCACAGATGTGCCTTATGTCACACTGCAGAGGTATCTGCTGAAGTAACATCTGTAACGAGGGCAAATGAACCGTCATGAGAGACTTCAGCCAGAGAGCAACACCGACTCTAGAAATAATTGTCTCTTTAGGCATAAAAAAAACAAAAACAAAAACAAAAAAACACCTTGAAATAAAGCCTTTTCCTAGGCTTTTAAAAAAGAGAAGCCAGTACACATGTTAATTTCCCCTGTGACCAGAGAGAGCAGCGCTAGGTGAACCGGAGCGCGGACGGGGGCCGTGGCGCCGTTCCCTGCAGCGCTGCTGCCCGCACCGATCGCTTCTGAAGCGGCTCGACCGCCTCGCGGTGCCGACGGGGGAGGGCGATAGCGCCTTAACGCCCCGGGTTTGCTAATCTCCCACACTCTCTGAGCTCGGGCCGGTGTCCCGACGCGACCTCCTCGCTGTTCTATTGACACTACGGCCTACGAAGCGGCATTGCTTCGGTGCTTTTTGGAGTTCAAGCCGCCAGGCTCAACCGCCTCTGCCTCTCCACGCCGCGCGCCCGCCGTGCCGGCTGTGCAGGAAGGAGTTGGGGGGGGATGGAAGCGTGCGCGGCGTGCGCGTGCGCGCGGGGCGGGCGGGCGCGCGCGCTCTCGAGCCGGGATCGCGCGGGGCGCTGCGAGGGGCCGCGCCGCCCCGGGAGCGGGGGCGCCTCAGGTCAGCGGTGCGGGGGGCGCTGAGGCGGCCGTTACGGCCTTCACCGGGCGGGCGGCGCCGACGGGCGGCGGCGGGGAGCGGACGGTAAGCCGGGCGGGGCCGGGCTGGCGGCGCCGGGCCGCGGGGCCGGGGGGCGAGGGAGCCGCCGCGAGCGGAGGGGCCCGGTGCCGGGGGCCGAGGCGGGGAGGAGCCAGCGGCTCCCGGGTACGTCTCGGCGAGGGACGGGGCGGAGCGGCCGCACCTGGGCGCCGGTACGGCGAGCGCCGCTCCGAGCCTTCCGCCAAAGTTGGGGAGCGGGAGTTCGGGCGGTGCGCGGAGCTGCGCGAGGCGGCGGTACAAAGAGCGGCCTGGGGGGCTGCGGGGGGCTGCCGGCTGCGCGCTGCGATGTGGAACTTCCTCGGGGAGAGCGGTGTGACTGAGCGCTGTTCGACCGCAGTCCTCGAGCTGTGGGCTGGCTGTCCGCGTGTCTGCAAACAGAGCTGCTTATGGAGGCCCGGCGCCTCCGGAGTTTTGTTCTGGGGCGAGGGCAGCGGGCTGTTCTGTTCCACGTGAGAAAAAAGCTGAAGTTACCGTGTTTAGTGCTCCTGAGGTGATGGCCTGCATTCCTAATTAAAGCACCCAAAGCTGGCAGGCGCTGGGTAGGTTTCCTGTGCTCCTACTGCAGTTTTCACAACTCTTTATTTTTTTCAGCATTAAATTTATACCGGGGGGTTTTATTCTGTGGCCCCGTCTCCCTGTTTGTGGAGGGACGCGGTGTTGGGTTGTGCGCACACAAAGCACATTTGGTTGTAACGTGACCGTCCTGTCCCTGGCTCAGGCTTAGAACAGGTTTTGTTTTGGTGGGAAAGAGCTGCTCTCATCGTTGCCTACAGAAATTGTGTGGTTTGTCGTGTCACATCTTGGTAGTTTATTAGATAATTCTATTAGGGAATTAAATACTTCAGGACCTTCTGCATTTGAAATAAGTTTGCCAAAATTGAACGTAGCATGTAGGGCTATTTCTCTGCCTATTTCTCTGCTGCAGCAGCAGAATGCATGATAACTTCCCTGGTGTTTCACCCCCAGTGATCCTCAGCTCTGCCCTAAAGGAAACACCTTTCAGAAGCAAAGCGGAGTTCCTCTTTGCTTGCCATAAAAAGGCTGAGAGAAAGGATTCAGCTATTGGTAGTAATATCTACTGTGTAGATACTTGCTTGTTAGAACTTGTAATAGAAATTTTTTATCTCAAGTTCCAAAACAGCTGGTATGCTTACGATCAAAGTTTCAGTGCTATGGCAGGCTCAATTAAAGCAGAGGTCTAATGATGATTTACTGCTCATTATGCTGTTTGAAGAAATTTAGGCCTCCGTCCATTGTGTGAAGTTGTATAAAGGATGCTAGTTCTGCAGCAAAATGTCATTCATGCTCGTCATTAGCTTTGTCAGATCATTCAAGATGGTTCTCTTGTGACTTTCTGCTAACTCACCAATCTTGCAGGCTGTTGTTTTGTTCTACAAAACCCAGGGGAAAAGCTTAGTCACCTCATTTGTATTTGTGGGCTTTCTGTTTTTCTGGCCTGGCTTGTCTCTTTTGTGCTCCTGTTGGTTCATTTGAATTTGATAACTCAGGAGCTAAAGTGAAAGAAGATTGAAGTGAGTGCAGTGTCCACAGAGTATTTGCATTTTAAAATACAGATGGGCAGCTTGGTGATGTCTGCTGGGCACTGTGGGTATGTAGAGCATATTGTCACAGAAAACAGATGTGGAAGGTACACTGAGAAGTCCCCTCGTCTGTTACCTGCCTTGTGAGGCTGCCTGGTGCCCTGATTAGCTTCAGTCAGGGAGGGTCAGGTACCACCCTAGCTGCAGTTTCTGGTACTCCACAGAAATGTAAAGGAGTCATTTTGCTTCAAAATGTCATATTCCCAAGCATTATAGTTTTGTTACCTCAGGTTTTGCTCAGTGCTTGCTTGGTGACAAAGGTTTTTTGAGAGTAAGAGCAGAAAGTAACTGGTTGGGTAGCACTTCTGCTTGCACCTAGCAGCTGTGAGGTTTTATACACGGGCTTTTAAGGTGGAACAAAATCCCTTTGAAGACTAATCCATGATGTGTTACGGCGTGTCACCTTGCCCTGCTAGCAGTGGGTGTGGGTGAAAGCTTAAGCCATGGTCTTTGAGACCGGGGAGGAGCTGAGGCAAGTTGCTTATTATTTACAATAGAAATGCATGCAGTGACTTCACTTCAACAAAGGAACAGTGTTTTGCCCTACTTGGGGGTCCTCAGCACCCGGTTTAACTCAGGTGGAAGCAATCCCAGCCCTACCAGTTTGCTCAGTTTCTGTCGAGGCACGTAGCTCAGAGGTATACTGTGTGATGTTAGGGTAGCGCCGTGCACATAACAGCATACGTAGAACATGTAGGTGCTATTTGATCTTCGACTACCAGGCTGAGATGATACTGCTGCATGTATATGAAAAAATAAAGGCTTTCATAATTGGCAAAGTTTTATAATATGTAAAACTGATGCACATGCAGGTTTACCTTGCATAATCCCTTAAAATACCTGTATTTGTTTACTTTTAATTACTTTCTCCTTCAATTTTTTCTCTACCACAGCTCTGAAAATAGAGCCAACAAGACAGCATTATTGTGAAGGAGAGTTAGCATTTAGGATACCCTGGTGTTCCTGCACAAATAAGTCTAACTGCTTGAAAATATATCTTGAAACCAGAAATGGAGAAGCATATTCATGTCCATCTTGAAAATTCATTCCCACAAGTGAGCTGCCATTCACTTGCAAAGAGGAGGAGAAATTAATCAGAATGCTAAAGCATAGGTGATCTAATTGGCAAGTATGACTGAAATATTTGCCGTGGAAGAAAGTGAATCTGATTTTGTGAAACATGTAAGCAGATCACAGTTTGGCAGTGGTTTTGTTCCCCTGGGGAATCACCATTATATATCCAAGCAGAACCTGGCTGTGCTGTGTGAAGCTGGAAGCAAAGTTAGGAGCGAGCAACAAAATCCGCAGCTTCTAACATGTGGTGAAAGAAAACTAATTGAGTACAGTGCAATCTAATGGACTTAGTGTTTGTGTCCATTCCTTCAATTATTTGGATGCAGTGATTGGTGCCTCACAACCAAAAATTGGGGTTATTAAGCAGCTGTCAAAAAATTATGAGTGTTTTGTTCATGGATTTGAGACTCTCTTGAGAAAGGAGAGCTACTGTGCTTGATGATGCATTTCTTTGCTTTGCTGGTGGACTAACCTGTTCCTTTTTCACTAGCTGGGATAGTCTTCTCTTTTGTCATTTAAAATGCACTGGAAACAAAAAACTATACCATTTTCCCTTCTTCTAACTTATTTTAAATACTTACACTGAATGGTTCCAGGTACGCTCTCCTGTAAACAGAAGCGTGCCAAGTCATGGCTCTGTGCTGGGTTGTAAGCTGATCGTTTCACATCTAGTGAAGTTCAGGGTCCTGAGGATTGGCATGATGCTATTTCACCATGGCAGAACCCAGTAATGTTTATGTTACAACACCTAACCGAGCTTTTCAAGTCTCCTCTGTTTTCTTAACTTTGTTCAGTTGCAAGCTTGATGCAGCTTAAAGCACAGCAGTCTCAGGAAATCGAAGTTTGCAGGCTGCTGAACAGTTACTGTGTGGGTCGTAGCAATATCCTCTTCCCTCTCATGTCCCACAGGGTGCTTCATCACTGGTTTGATGTGAAAGTAGGTGAGCCGCTCGTGAAAAACAAAATCCTTGAATTCCACACTAACATAATCAGTGGTAATGCATTGTCCCTTTGGATCTTGATGGGGTAGATACTGTTCTAGTGCCACCAGCTCTTCAGTAAGATCTTGCTGAGAAGTTGTCTTCATCTGCGCTACCTTTTGGCAGACTTAACTGAGCTGTGTGTAGGGGAACAAAGACGTTTGGGAGACAGTGATGGAAGGGAACAGGATTGTTGTCTTTGTAGGTCCTAATATAGCTAATTGAATGAAGTGTTTCTGAGCCGAGTTAAAGTTAGTGTAGAGATTTGTCTAGTGTAAAATCTGCCTGTAAGATAGGAAGGGAAGTTGTGGCTGTAGTTACCTGATCGCAATCTCTGTTGAAATAAGCAGCATGTGAGTACTAATTGTAGTGCTGGTTTCTCTCAAGTGCACTGAGATCGCTAGCTTCTTTCTCACAGGGCACTGAATGATCATTAAATGCTAATGACTTTTGATTACTGTTGACCTCGGTCAATTTAGAGTTAGCGACCTAGAGATGAAAACCACTGTATCTCATTACCAATTTCCTGAGCTATCTGATCTTTCCTTTGTAGGTCAGTTTTGATAAGAGGCAGAATAGAATTAAAGTTGACCTTTGTCTTAGAAAAGGGGTTGAAGGCGTTCAGGTTTGCAGTATTGTGCTTAGAAGCAGCAACAACAACAAAAGGAAGCAGCTACACGGAAAGAACTTGTCTTTCTGACCCCATGGATTGTCAAGAGCAAAACTTATCACTTCTAGTAGAAAAACAGCCTATCACCTGTAACCTTGAATTTCTCATTTTGTAGCTGCAGGTTTTCTCATCTCAAGCATCCATTTATAACTTGTTCTTACTTTGAGCCATGAAGCAGCAAATGAGTGTTTATAGGATAAATTGCCAACTCGGCTCTAGGATGTTTTCTACCTGCAATTGCCAAACTATGTGCAGGATGGTAAAGTCATCTATTTCATGTTGTGATGAAGCATTTCACTTAATTTCTTTCCACATGCACAGAAGAAAATGTGTGATAATTCACTGTTATTGTTCACTGTAGACTCTTTAAATGAAAGGTGTTTTTTATACAGTTGTGGTTTCTACAGACTGCCATTCATACAGCAAATATGGCATTGAATTCATAATGAAAATGTGTGATAAATGTAAATATTTTTCCTCACTTTAATATGCAAGCTCTATTTATTTTTGTCAAGCTGAAAACAAAGCTTTTAATTTTAAAAGCAAAACTCCGCAGTGTGAAAAAAATCTTGTAGAGTTATGTTAGTATGTTTGGGAAAGAAACATTCAGTTATTGAACCTCTTATGTGGTTAAATGGCAGAGGGAAAGCAGCTAAGGAAGAATGTAATGGGAGAGTAATGCTGCACTCGGTTTGGGCTAAGCCTCAATTGGTGAGCATGTAGGGAAGGAGGATGTTCATGATGAAATAAATATAGGGAAAAATGTTATTCTCAAGTACTCTGTTTTGGTTTGATTGCTTTGTCTCAAAAAAGGGTATTGCTGTAAAAATCAAAAGGGGGCAATGAAAATGTCTGCAGATACAAAAGAAGGCATATTTAAAAGATGAAGGTTGTCTTGATAGGGAGGCCAGTAAGAAGTTTTGTGCAGAGATGCAAATAATACAAGAATGTGAAAATAAAAGGCAATTTTATTCTCTGTTCTTCTGCTTTAGAAAAACTTGTATTTAACTGCTGACTGGGCTGCTCAGAACTCCCTGTTTGTTTCCTTGAAAGCAGTAAGAGCACTCATGGGGGAAAAAAAAATAAGAATATCTTTATGGAGAAAAATATTCTGAAGCTTTTAACCTTCATACTTTAGAGCTTAAGATTATCACTAAGCAGAGTTGGGATGAATATTTGTAAACAAGCATTTTGCTAGCACACAAGCTATAGCAAAATAAATTTTAACTTCTCGTGTTGGTTCAAGATGCAGTTCTAAATTGATGCTGTTCTGAGAAAGAAATACTCTGTTTTTTTTATTTTTATTTGTACTATGTGTTCAGACTTCAATAGCCATCACAGTGTTATCCATCTTCGTCCCTGCTTTCAGTCTTTGGTGTTTTTTTTTAAGGGAGCCCTCACTGAGTGAGACTTAAGGACCAACTTTTTGATGCAACAAACAGGAATGGTTACAGTCCTGGTTTGTCCCAGTGCTGCCTACCAGAATCCTGTGTGAGAACGGGTGGTGGGAGATTTGGTCAGTTCTGACGTGCTTTGTTACTGGAGAAAATCAAAACGGAGCTGTCAGTCCCCTTTCCAACTGAGTGTTTTTACAGACAGGAGGGTTGGGATGGGTGGTTTCTTCCAAGTGACTAAATAATTCATAAATAGTTAAACAGCGTTAAGCTCCTCGGCTGTCTGGGTTGGGTTTCTTGGTTTTATTGTTTGCTTTTTTGCTCTTTGAACTTGTGCGCATCATTTTTTAATTAGTGTTTGAGTGAGCTTAAATTCAACGAGAAGTAACGGCAGACAGGTAGATCTGTTAAATATTAAGTGTATATTTATTTTGGTTAATAGAGATGTACCATCTGAAACTGATTTCTTTGGGGAATCCGGAATTTAAACAAAGAATTTTAATAATGCATAGGCATAATAATAACAGCCAAGGAAAAGACTTGGCAACTTTACAAAAAAAAGAAATATATGCATGTTCTTATTGCCTACTTGGAATTAGTTCCTCAGTTCAGAATCTGGTTGTAGCAGCCCACTGGGAATTGTGATGAAGTCTTGATTTTTAGGGAAATTGTCCACTTTGTGTTTCTACATGAAGAGCAGAGCTCTAAATGTGAGATAGAGGAAAAGCACAACCTATTAGAAGACAAAAAATGGAAAATTTGGGGTATACTTGCTATTGCAGAAGGAAGGACTGATGCAGCATGAGGAAGAGTTCCCATCAACCTTGGAAATTCAGTGATTTCTCAATTGTGCCTTTAGAAGGGCATAAATACACATGCTGTTGCACCAAGCACTGTGCGGTATAATTCCTGTGACAACCTTCCCAATGGTTTCACAGCATATTATTGTCTTAAAGGGTAATTAGAACTGACAGTGTAGATATATTATCTGCATTTGGGTTTAAACTGTAAAATTAATAATTTGGTTTTGACTGTGTTTTAAACACTTCTTAGCTGAGAGGTGATTTCCAAGGCTTATAACTTGCCCTGTATCATTTGAAAGGAGGATGAAAGTGGATGCATAGCAGCTCAGCCTCATAATGTAGCCCTTTGCCAAGTGCTTCACATCTGGCATTTAGAATTTTCAATAGACCTGTTCCATTTAAGCATGGAATTTCCTGCACCCTTTAAGTTAATACTTTTGGTGTGGTTACTTTGCTTACAAGTTAATATTGATGTCTCTGAATAATTGTTTTTTTTTAGATGTCTATAAAGTTCCATTCTGTTAATATATAATTAATAAAGAAAAATGAAAATTACTGGAGAAAATGAGGGATACAGCACAACAAGTTTTCAGAGGTGGACAGAGCTTTGGGAGAAAGAAGGTCCTTACTTCTCTCACCAGAGATAGACTTTGAACTTGAAGTTTTGACTCATCTTTCAACAGGGCACACATCTGAGCATGCTTTTACTGACTGCAGTGAGCTGTAAGTCATTAACAGTATGTGTATATGGAAAAAGGAAAACTATTTCATAGGAAAATAGATGGTAGTTGCTGCCAAAACTGAAAGAATAGTGAGTGCAAGAAGCACTGATTCTTTCTGTGCTTTTCTTTTTCCACTTCACTTGAGACTAATAACTGATATGTGATGGTTTGTTTTGGAGCTAATAAAGTTCAGTGGAAGGTGATACGAAGCCTGTGGAAAGGGTCTTAACTTTTTCATAGGAACTTCTGGGGTCTGTTGGGGAATCATTAATATTTTCCCAGTCGCAGCAGACCAGATTTTGATGGATGGCTTAGGAGCCAAAGATGGCTGTTAGGGTTTGAGTCAGCAGGTGTGAAGTTTTATCTTTGGTTACTAGGGGTCTGGCTGGCTTTTGGATTTGGCAGAACAAAGTTCAGCCATAGCTTTCCCTCTCTTCCTTCCACAGAGAGCACAGCATGTTTCACATTGTGTTTTGTGGAAGTCAAAGGCATGGTTGATAGCTGCCAGTTTACATTTGCCAATAGTCTTTCCTACACACTTAAACAGTGGCTCTGTCATTGCATTTCTCTTCTGTAGCATCTTGGTAACCTTATCTGCTATGGGTATAATCTTTGGGCTTCCATTGGCTAACTTGTTTGTTGGGACCTTGCTTCTTTTATTCTGTGGGATTAGGTAAAATGGATTTATGGAATGAAAATGAAATCTCCCGTATGAATCTCCTGACCTCCTCTATCTTTCTCTTGCCAGTTGCTATGATGAAAACCAGATTTTCTGACATGTGGCTCTTTGGTATCTGTACGTTTGCTCCCCTGTGGAATGGCAAACAGGTTGTTATTGTAACTGGAAGGGATGGAAGTTTACCTAAGGAAGGGGGGGGGGAAAAACTTGCACAAATCCAAGAATACTTTGTATTTCCATTGTAAATTCTCTGCTGTGAGCAATTATAAACATCCCATCCACGGGATGAGTTTCTTTTCCTTTACCCTTTCTTTTACCATCACAATTCAACGTGACAAACGTGGTTAGTTTCTGTCCCAAACGAACCTGTCACAGATCAAAAAGAAAAACAAGTGAGAAAGAGAGTAAAAAAGGGAAGAAAAGCTTGCTAGGAAATATTTCTTTGGCAGTTGCATGATCTGCCTCTCCGTCTATTTAGGAACAGGTTTTCAGCCACACCAGGTTTGACCCTTTGACCCACCATTTTCTTTTAAATTGACAGACAGAGGAGATGGATATGTGTCTGGAAATAATATCTTGTGATGACCACTGCCAGTGTTTTGGTGCTTAATATGAAGTTACCTCTCAAGGAGACCTAACAATCTGTGCAGTATCTACACTTAGGCATTACAGTTCCAAGATTATGTTACAGATTGTGTTATAGTTGTGGCAGTTGCAGTTGTTTTTTTAGTAAATAGCCTGAGTAGCATCTCCATGCTTCATTTTCAGTCCATGGCAGACTCTTGACAGGCATTTCAGCAAGGTCAACTTCTTCTCCACCAGCCTTCGGTCAATTTTTTATTTTGGTGTTGTGTTCTTGTCCAGCAAAACTAATTAACTAATTGAAGAACAAAGATGATTTTTTCTTTTGAATTGGAAAATAATTGTGAACTGATGCTAGAATTATCAACCCATCCAGTGCTTTAAGGTGGGAATGTTGACACCTAATACTTTTGTTATGCTTGTCTTTTTTTTTTTTTAATGCGCTAGACCTTCTACTAAGGAAACCTGATCTAAATTTAATTCAAAGTAAACTAATGACTGAAAATTAGTTGTTTATTTTTAAATTTAAATGATTTCATTGGCATATCTTATATCCTGTTTATTTCAGAAAGTATTTATTAACAGAATCAGGATGTGTTTGCCTCTTGAGAAATGCTTTCAGCCTGCGATTCATAAATTGGTCAGATTTGCATGGAGTGCTTGGAAACATTGATTAAGTATATCCCCTCCAATTTGCTTTAATCTGATTGCACATGTAGAAGTTCCCTTCTGATGCGGTGCAGCCATGTCATGTGTAAGCTGGCCTAACGAACGCTACTTAGTCATTTGGGACCCCTGTTAAAAGCTATTACACTCCCTAGAAACATAAGGAGTTAAAACTAAAGCTGTGACCTCATCTCTATTCATGTTACATTGGAGTAGAAACTGCGTGGAAGGGGATCGTTTAACTGTGTCGCTGTCTTTGCTGCTGCTAGCTGATTTGCTTTCATTTGGTTCCCATATTTATAGCGTGCTCTTTCTGAACAACTGCCACAGAAGGGATTTGTGAGCGTCCTAGACACGTACGAAGCCATGCTAATACGAACTGCGTGTGGAAATAGCTCCCACCGAAACATTTAGGCTCTAGGATGTTTCTACCTGATTTCTACATTTTATCCCTGCCCCTGTGAAATCCAGACAGCATCAAGAAGAGCTGAAACGCACAGGCTTCTAGCCAGCTGGGCACTTATGTAACTGTGCGTGCAGTTTCCCTTATTACTTAGCACTGCGTACTAAATGAGGAGCGCAACTGCTGTCGCTTTAATGTTGGAGCCGCGTACGTTACAATAGGTGTCACTGTGCGGCTGAATCCAATCGTTATCAGTGACTTCAGCTATTGGCTCTGCGTGCTGGCTGACTCCATCTGCAGGGCTGGAATATCTGGTCGCTTCAGATCCGCTCATCGCACAAGTTGAGCTCGCTGAGCGGGCGAGCGGTGCTACGGCACGTCGTGCTTGCCTCTGGTGGGAAGCTGCTGCGACAGCCGCGCGTGTGCCTCTGTGCTGGGTGTGCTGCTTTCGGGTGGCTCGCGGTCAGGAAAGCTGGGAAGAAATAAAACTGGCAGGAATGATGGGGATGTATTTAACAATTCAAGTACTGGATCAAACTTAAAGCCTGGTTTCTTACTCGGAACGCTGGAAAGGTCACCTTGTCTTGCTGGAAAAGAAACTCTCTGCTCTTCTGCTCCGTGTTTAACAGCTCACACGTGCATTTTTTAATGTTCTTAGCTAGTCAGGTTATCTAGCTATACAGACAAGTATACTCATGGTAGATGAGAAAGGGAAGAACATGAAATGTCTCACCTTTTTCTTGATGCTTCCAGAGACGGTTAAGAACAGGTCCAAGAAGAGCTCTAAAAAGGGAAATAACAACAGCAGCAGCAGCAAATTGCCTCCAGTTTGCTATGAAATCATTACCCTGAAGACCAAAAAGAAGAAGAAGATGGCTGCTGATATTTTTCCCCGAAAGAAACCAGCCAACACTAATACAACTGCTGTCCAGCAGTACCACCAGCAAAATCTCAATAACAACAACACTATTCCAGCACCAAACTGGCAAGGACTTTATCCGACCATCAGAGAGAGGTAAGTTCGGGAAAGTTTATTTTTGTTCTTTGAATGGAGTGGTGAAAAGTAGCGAGATGCTCATAATGTGTACTTTTAGCTATTCATTTATTCACTGAGTAAAGCAGTTCTCTCTGTGAAGAAAAGTATTCTGGTAATGGAAAATATTTTCCTATCTGTTTTCCATACAGTGCAGTTGTCTGAATAATAAACAGTGTAAATAAGAATGTTGCTGGCTGCAAGCAACAACATTGCTTGTAGATGTTAGTGGGGATTTGACTGATTTCCACTTTTTGAAAAGTTTTTGTAATTTTTATACACCCCTCTGCCCCTCCGAGCTTTGTTTTTAATCCACACACAATGTATAATGTAGCTAAAAACAAAGTGTAATCTGCTTTTCATTCTGCTAGTGGGTAACTTTAAGGTGTTCAGAAATCTGATTTCTTTGTTTTGCATAGATGCAAAACTGGGTTCTATAAATTAACATGTTGCCTCTGTTTGTAGAAATGCAGTGATGTTCAACAATGACTTGATGGCAGATGTTCATTTTGTGGTCGGGCCACCAGGTGGGACCCAGCGGCTGCCGGGACATAAAGTAAGCAACAGCTGCACTGTTTTTGTTTTGGGGGGGGGAGGGATGACAGGAGAGCTCCCACAGTTACACCAGGACACAGCGTGCAGGACTGGGCTCTTCTGGGGCAGGCATAATTCTATGCAGTAAAAGGCTACATGCAGTGCTGTCCCTTGCTTTTCTTTGTTTCTTGTATGCTTGTATTGAGGCAGTTGCTGCAAAGTTGGGAATGCTGCTTGTGCTGTTGACTAATATTACTCTTGAGACTTTCTAGAAATAGTTAACTTGTGTAGTGGATATGAGCAGTTTCCAGTAGCTAATGCATATATGCCCATGAGAGTAAAATGAAGCGGAAAATGTGTAATTCTGTTCTTAACTTTGACTTCATTTCTTACTGAAGTGCATCTAGTGCCTGTCAGTGAAGCCCAGTATGTTCAGAGTGGCTCTCCCACATTGTTTTTGTTGGCAGCTCTTTTCAGCTTAAAGCATGAAATAAGATTTCCCTTTCTCAACAGTATGTCCTGGCCGTTGGGAGCTCAGTATTCCATGCAATGTTCTATGGAGAACTTGCTGAGGACAAAGATGAAATCCGTATACCAGATGTGGAGCCTGCTGCTTTTCTCGCAATGCTGAAGTAAGCATCGTTCATCTGCTGGATGTATTTTCCTTCATGATGCACCACATACTTTAATTTAACTATGACAGTACCAGTATTTTAGACTTGCATATGAACAGAAAGAAAGCAGTTGCTTGAAATACTCTTCTTGTGTTTCAAGTATTTCAAACTTTTATCTGGTTTTGGTGTCCCCTTTTTCTTCCAGGCATGCATATATTAGGCTGATGTAGGCAGTTGCAAATAATGACTTTGACAGCAGATCTTTGGGCGCATTGTATACTGTAATGCCTATTGATTTGATTTGTTGCCACACATGGTAAGCAAAGGAATGGAGTTACTAAAAAGAATTGTCAGCTATAAGAAAAAAAAAAAAAAAGAAAACCTCTGCTACACTTCACAAGCACAGCAGAAAGTTAAAAACAACAAAAACATCAGAATTGCTGTGTTTGTATGATGGCATAGTTAACAACTTCTTTGCAAACTTGCCGTATGTGTGTCTGGAACGAGGGGGGGAAAAAAAAACACACCCTAAATATTGAACAGAGCTTTTAATAATTAAATTTCTCCTCATCTGTCTTAGTGATGCATCTAGAAAGTGATAAAAAGGCTGTTGATAAGAGTAGGATGTGTTTTACTCTGACTGGGGGTGCTTGGGGGGTCAGTTTATGTGATTATTTATCTGTCTTTGATTTCTTCTTGCAAATGGCATAAGAAATGCTGTTGTTTCTAAGTGAACACAACGAATCAGTTTCCCTGCTGAGTTGTCCTTGAATGTATCTGTAAACTCTGGTTTTTAAAGGGAAATTCCCTATTACAGATCTGCTAATCCTTTGAGGTCGCTTTTTTTTCCCCTTCAGCTTTAGTAATTGCCATTGCACCCTGATAAAGAGCATACATTAGTACCTGATAGTAATGCTTTTCATGTGCTGCAGATTCTATTGCACGTAATGATGTAATCACTAGCTACTTATTGTCTTCCATAGATTCTTTTGACTAGCTTGTGATTAGAGTGGTTTCTTTTTTTTTTTTTCTTTATATGCAACTCTGACTATCCTTCTACAGTGCCACCGACGCACAGAGTTTGCATAGAGGTTTTTATAGGTTATTGTGAACATCAGAACTGCGCAAGTATTAATAACTGCAATAAAAAAGCTGAAGTTACACAGCTATTCTATAGATCTGGAATGTAAAGATAGAACGTTATGTCAGTGCTGTGCTGCAGATCCCCGCATTGGGCCTCTCTGGTTTTGCAGGTGTTTTATGCAGGGCTCTGATCTGTGCTTAGCTTTCATGTACACTTTTACAAAGCACAAATACAAGATACTTGGATACCCCTCCCCCTTTTTGAACAGCGAATCCTATGTCTCTGTGACTGAATGTGACATGCCAAGTAAAAACAGAGTGCTTTTTGAATTTATCATTGTCATGAAGGAATATATTCAGAGTGCAAACCTAGAGAACAGAATATCAGTGCTGATAGATAGGTCTTGATGAATTATTTAGCCCATGGCAATTTAGGGAAGTATCTTGGAGGACATGACCAGAACCCTGGAATTCTTTACCCTCTAGGCTTTTATTTAAAAAAAGCAGAAGATGACACACATTTTCTGTATTCATTGTGGATGTTGAGCTATCCTTCCCAGTGCTCATTTCTGCTGCTGCAGTGTTCCTGAGCCCGCAGAGTGCTCCAGTGCCTGCAAACGCTGGAGCTGCCTGCAGCTGTGACTGCAGAGATGGGAAAGGATGTTGCTCAGCAGTGCAGCATTCCCCTCGTCGCATGATCCCAAGCATGTGCTGCACTGGGCGGAGCCTGGGAGGAGACATGGGCCCATCACTCCTCTCCCCCCAGGAAATCTTCCCCATGAGTGCTGCCTGCAAGTCTTGTGAGTAGATTCTAAAGGAGGAGAAGACTTTTTACCCATCCCGAAGCAGTCTTATCTCTCATGTGGTGATTTTCACAGTCAGGAGGGACCTGCGATAATCTTTGTAGGAAAATGCATTGTTATTTTCTTTTCTGGACAGTGAATTCTTCTAGCATAACTGTTTTTTGTCATTTAATATATAGTATGCATACTTAGAGTGAAGATCTGATAAGGTGGTGCAAGATATAACATAGGAAATAGCACATTGACTGATATGCATATATGAATTATTCTCTCAGTGAAATCAATTTGGCAGTTTTCTATAGTTTTATAAATGGAGTCAGAAGGTTGTTAAAATTCATAATCCTGCTGGCATATTGAGTTGGTGTCTTTACTGCATTATATCTTAATATTGACTGTTCAAGTTAGAGCTATGGTCTCTTGTTAAGCCAGGATGAGTGTGTTATTAAACCATCAAACTCTGCTTTAGCAAAATCTTCTTTATACGAATAGAATGAAACTGGAATGTGAATAATTGTCAACCAGCATCGAGGTGCACTGGCACAGTGAGAAGTGTGGAATATTGCTGACAGCCTATCTGTGCTGTCTGTTGTAAATCACTGGTATTAGTTTTTTACTTTCATGAATATTAAACTAGCAACTTTGTGCTATTTCAGTATAAAACAGATGCCATCATTCTCTTTGGTACTAGCAGGCAAAGAAAAGTAATATGAGGGACAAAAGAGTTGAAGAACAATGAGGAGAATAATAAAACCAGATAGATTGACACATTCAAAATATTTTGGACAGTAAAATACGTAAGGCCTAATCCTTGTTGTTACAAATAACCCAGCTGAAACCAAGTAATAAAGGGTTGGGTTGTTGTTGTGTTGTCTTGTTGGTTTTTTTTTGTTTGTTTTGTTTTGTTTTTTTAAGTTTGTAGGAGTATTCTTTTTCTCCATAACCTCTTCCATTTTGTTATATTGCTTGGGCTGCATCTGCTCTGAGCACAATTTCTTGATATGACTTGGAGAATAGCACCCTACAGCTGCAAAAACAAACAAACAAACAAAAAAAAGCCAGATAAAGATATATACAGCTTCAGTCATTTCAGGGTAGGTACTAATTCCCCTTTCTAAGTACATTCCGTTCTGCCAAAAATACACTGTGTTGGGAAACTTGCTAACTAGAACATTTTAATTACTCCAGGGTTGCATAGAACTTCAGCTTCACTAGAGGAAGGTGCTTTTATCAAGCATAACCATCAAGACTTGCTTATCCCTGTGAAGAGTAAAATTGTATTTGGCATGGTTTTAACACATGGCATTCACCAGCTGCAAATGGGGCCCTGAAGCATGAAATAGTACAAAGAACAAACTGTACAGTGTTCCATTTCTCCAAGTGATGAATCCTAGCAGTTTAGTCACAAAATAATAATTTCACCTTCGTCACTTCCACTACACTGTTGTGGTAGTAAAAGGCTTTTTTTTTTTTCCTCCTTATGTGCTGACGCTGAAAGAAAACACCGTATTATTGCAGCTATGATGCTGTAGGCATTAATAAACCTGAAAATTAATTTTCTATGCCTTTTGTTTTTTTTATGTTTCATTGCCTCGTTTGGAAACTAACCAAAAAAAAACCATCAGTAATTAAGAAGATGAGTAGCACCTGTTACACTTCAGTAGCATTTGTGTTCTGAGAGATTAGCTAGTTATTAGCAGTAAGCTAGTTTTCATTCCTCTGTTGGTATGTACGTAAATAAATCATCACCACTGACTATCATGGGACATTAAATCCAGGTACCATTTGTAACACGTGTTCCAGACTGGTTTGTTAGCCAAGTAAGTTAGCACTTGAGGAGCTACCTTCTGAGGATAATATTCTGTCATTAGCCAAAGCATGTACAGAAGGAGAACAGCTGAAGAAGTTGTGTTCTTTGTACACTTTACCATTTCTGCATAGTCTGTGCACCAAATGAGAAGTTTTTCTCACCTCAGATTTAAGCATGTTCTCTTCCCTGGTCTTACATGAGTGGTGATTTTAGCTTGTGTTTTCTTCGTAGATTTAATTGGTGTTCCCCAAAAGCTCTACTTAAATATTCCTTCTTCGTAGTTTTGAGATGTTGACAAATGATCCCTTTGCATTAAGCATGCTTGTTTCATTTCAGATACATATATTGTGATGAAATTGATTTGGCTGCAGATACTGTCCTGGCCACTCTTTATGCTGCCAAGAAGTACATCGTCCCTCATCTCGCCCGTGCCTGCGTCAACTTCCTAGAAACAAGTCTAAGTGCAAAGAACGCCTGTGTGCTGCTTTCCCAAAGCTGCTTATTTGAGGAACCTGACCTGACCCAGCGCTGTTGGGAAGTGATTGATGCCCAAGCCGAGCTGGCTTTGAAGTCCGAGGGCTTCTGTGACATTGATTTTCAGACGCTTGAAAGCATTCTCCGACGGGAGACTCTGAATGCCAAAGAAATTGTTGTTTTTGAAGCAGCTCTGAATTGGGCCGAAGTGGAGTGTCAGCGACAGGAGCTAACTGCCACCATAGAGAATAAGCGCAAAGTCCTGGGAAAGGCGCTGTACTTGATACGCATCCCTACCATGGCACTCGACGATTTTGCAAATGGCGCTGCTCAGTCTGGGATTCTGACTCTCAACGAAACCAATGATATCTTCCTTTGGTATACAGCTGCCAAAAAGCCAGAGTTACAGTTTGTAAGCAAGCCCCGGAAAGGCCTTGTTCCTCAGCGGTGCCATCGTTTCCAATCCTGTGCTTACCGCAGCAACCAGTGGCGCTACAGGGGCCGGTGTGACAGCATCCAGTTTGCTGTTGATAAGAGAGTGTTTATAGCTGGCTTTGGGCTATACGGCTCCAGCTGTGGATCAGCAGAATACAGTGCCAAGATTGAACTCAAACGACAAGGAGTTATCCTAGGCCAGAACTTGAGCAAATATTTCTCAGATGGTTCTAGTAACACTTTCCCTGTGTGGTTTGAATATCCAGTACAGATTGAGCCTGACACCTTTTACACAGCTAGTGTGATTTTGGATGGTAATGAACTCAGCTATTTTGGACAGGAAGGAATGACAGAAGTTCAGTGTGGGAAAGTGACTGTTCAGTTTCAGTGCTCTTCGGACAGTACAAATGGCACTGGGGTACAGGGAGGGCAAATTCCTGAACTCATATTTTATGCTTGAATGTGTGGAGTGAAAGCATTTTTTCCTATGAAAAACCTGTCTAGTTCAGACCTACTGACGCTTAGCTCTTTATCTGCAGATATGTGATCAGTACAAGTTATTTGTCACAAACGCTACGGGCGAGTTACTGGCTTGCTATACTTGTAGCATCATTGGTGATGAAGTTTAAGTGTAATATTTAAATTGGAAGCTCTTATGAATAAGCAAGTTTTGAATGCTTAGTAAGAGAGTTACCCAATACCTGGCGATGCTGACCCTTGCTTTGATGCACCTGAATCACCAGAGGATGCCCTCTTATCTCGTGGGCTCTAGAATTCTTTCCACTAAATGCTGTCATCTTTGATCAGTTTTCTCATTCTCTGTTTCCCACTCTTTGCTTATAACTATTTGGGGAGATGAGTTGAAAACAAGGAGCCTTGTTCTATAGCTCTCTTCTGTGTACTCTTCAAACTGAAGAGATTCCAATCAGCTGAGCTGATTTTGATCATGGAGGCTAACAGAAGTGCTTCAGTTCTAAACAGAAAAAGTATAGGTTTATACCATCATCCTGAGAGAGAGATTCTGCGGTAGCCAGCTGTTTGAGGAAGCTACACAGTGTGCTGACCAGAATGCATGGACATGTTTACAGTGAGTAAGGGTTTGGGCTTGACATGTGACCCTAAGAGTTCATATTCCAGGAATCCCACCTTGAAGGCAAGAAAGTACTTGCACATGTTCAAGTTACGTACACGAGCTGAAACCTCTATTCTTTTGACCTAATTTTGCTACATTGAAGTTGATTTACTATTTTAATTGCTTTTTGGATCCTTGCTAAATAGACAGGAGTTAATATCTAGCGTTTGATGTTGGACAGTTTTTATATTTATCTTATTTTCTTCCTAAATATTTAGAAGCATGTGGTAGAGAAACAAAACAATGTACTGGTCCCAACTTACACTTTTTTTTTTTTTTTTTTTTTTTAATACTGTGAGAATTTTGAAAGAGACAAGATTCCCAAATGTGGTCATGTTACAGTTAGTGTATATCATTAGATAAAAGTAAGGAGGATCTCTTACAGCTGCTTATGTGGAACCTTCACTTTATCTGAGTCCTCTCTCAAGCTTCCTGTCATATGTCTGTCATCTCTGGAAAAGTATTAGGGTTCACAGCTCTTTTTGAGAAGGAAGTAAGTATAAATAACAGATGTAGGTACTATTTAAATACAAGGAAATCTTTGACCCTTGCATTGTGACACTTGTACTACAATAGGTCCCTCTGAGATACAACTCATTTAGTCTCTGAAGTGGGTTCTTGTGTGTGTGTGTGTGTTTTAACAAAATTAGAGGACCAAATAATTATTAAGGCAGTCTGAAGATTAATATATCGACACATTAATGTAGCACAACACTAAATTGACTTGTCAGTTTTGTGATGAAAATCTTTTTCCTATAAGATTTCTTATCAGTTTGACACAATTACTCTTATGAGTTTTTTGACAGATGAAACCCTGGCCTCTGGCCATTGTTAAGTGCCAACACTTCTTTGCAGTGTCCAGAATATCATCTGAGATGAGGAAAAACTGGAGTGTAGATAACAAACACTTTATGGCCAAAGCTCAGTTCCTTCCTCTAGGTAACAAAGGAGAGCCAAGTGAAAAACTACCCTACAAGATCTATGCCTTTCACCCATCTTACTGTTTAGTGTTTTATATACATACATGCGTGAGTGTGTGTGTGTGTATGCAACATTCCTTCTGAAATGTAAATACCCTCAAAATATGGTGATTTTTTTCTTTTAACAGATGTACATAATCCAGACTGTTACTGAAATTTAAACAGAGTGGTCCATGGAAAACTCACAGAGATTTTAAAACAGCCGCCAGTTAAATATATTTAGATGTGCAGCCTAAAATAAACAAGAATGTGTGGACTGGAGAAAGAGTTGCTTAAGAGACTGCAAAAAGGAATCTAAGATTGTTGTGAGGTAATGTTCATCTACCTGGAGAGAATGTTTTGCGCAGCAATTCCATTTATGTAAATAGACTTGGAAGCAGAGCAAGATGCTAATCAGCCTGCTAAATTTTCATACAGCAAGTGGTTGACACAGATGTAATAATTCGGAGTGAATGTCAGATTGACAAGCTGCTTGCAGTAGCAAGCTGCATTCTGAGTTTAGGGAAAAAAAAATGAGGTGCCTCAGCTGTTGGGACAAATCAGTACTGCACTGCTATAACTAAACTCTGGTTCTCACTTTTAATTTTGTTGGGTTTTTTGCTTGTCTGCAAATACAGGTAAGCTATCTGCTACGTTGGCTGGAATAGATGGTAGGAGATTGGAATACTGTATAGCTGTATAAAATTCGCTATTATTTAATTATTTTTATTTGCTGGTTTTATTAAATCGTTTTGACGAAGCAGGATGAAAGCTACCTCTGGCTTAATTCCTCTGAGTCCCTTCCAGGTTCTAGGAGCTGCTGCATGTGAAGTTGTTTTTTAATATGGATCAATAAACATAAGCACTCCAAAACAGCTTTTAAGCTTGATTGTGAGTCCTGCTTGATGCTGACAGGTGCTGCTGTATTGAGAAGGTGGCTAGTTGTAGTCCCCTTGGACATCCAGGCACTTAAGTAGGTGTCCACATGTAGATTTGGTCAGTTTAGCAGTAGTATCTAAGCTTGAACACGTGGATGTTCTGCAAGCATTGGCTGTATCAACCTGGAATGTAAGCGTAATGTCAGTAGAGAGAACTTCTGGTAGATTGTCTTAAACTGTACCTGGCCACCTTTGCTATTTGTATGTTTGATTTTCCTGGTTAGGGGAATCTGTGATAGAGAGTATAATATAATATAATATACTTTCTGCATATCTAAAGTAGTATTTAAGTAAACGCTTTAATTTCTACATGCTTACTGCACTGAACTGTTTTATTTGTTGTTTGTTTTGGTTTGTTTTTTTTATGTAATTAAATGCAGCTAACTTCAGGTAACAGCACTCGTTTGTGCTGGAGCAGTGTTTGATTTTGGCAGGCTTACGGCATTATTTATAAAGGACAGATATATAAATATGAAGTACCTCATGTTGAATGTTATTGTACTGTATCTTCAATGTCACAGTGCAGATCTTGTTGGACTCATGAATGTGTATAATCGCATTAAACCTACGAATAAAAATGGTTCTTAAATGGTTGCTTCCCGCAGTACCTTTGAATCATGAGCTGTGAAAGCCTTTACTTAGCTGTCTTTTAATGATTCCTGTTGTACAGTTGTGCACAGATATTTGTGGAGCTTATGTGTTCAGAGATCTTTCGATCCCCAAAGGAGTAAGTCTGAGGAAAATCAAGGAAGAACAATGAAAATGTTAATCAGTTACATTGTAAAAGGGTTGACGATTAAGCTAATGAGCTAGAGTGAATGAATTCATTTATGTGCTTTATGAAAGACCTTGTCTCCTAGCATTAATATTTTAATGCTCTATTAATATTATTAAATATGCGTAGATGAAGGGGGAGGGTCTCGATTATGAAGGATGCTTGGCACAGGAAAGTCCCTGGTTTTCAGTCTCTGGTCTGTCTGGATAGAGGACATGATTAGTGTGAAGAAGCTGTTCTTTGCTGGAAAGTTCATTATCTAATAGTATTCAGAATTCTGACTATTTTCTTAATATTTTTTTTACAGGATTTTTGAGTCTTCACTCTAAATCCTTTTATTATCAGTGAAGCTGAAGCCCCACTGTGCCAGGACCTCTGTGTGCCAGGACCTCTCATATATTACTAGCTCTTTGTGAGAAGTGCTCCACAGTGCAATATAGAGGCAGGAAAATTTAAATGAGGAAAACTTCCGAAGTAAAAACTTTAACTTCAGGCTTTATCCAGAATTCTGATTAAAGCGTGTTTACAGGCATCAAGATTATAGCTTTGGTAAGTTTCTTCTAAAATTCTTGCTGCTGTACTTAGTAATATACTGCTGTATACTTGATCCAAATTCCCTTTGGTGTCCAGTTCTTCCCATTAATTTTGAAGGAACCTCAAATAGGAATTGTTCATTCTGTTCTGTACTAATGATACCAACTCTTAATTGTGGGGAAGATAGCAGTGTGATTTGGTGCAGGACCACATCGACAGCAGCAGTTGAGTTATGTTGTGGAAGGATATAGGCCATTCTTCATTTCTCCACTTAGTTCTTACCTTTATATCCAAGAAACTGGGGCTGCAATCAGCACCTATTTCATCCAAAGGGATGTTCTTTATTTCTGACTGAGATGTAGAAGAAGTGCCAGGACACTTGCTTTGGAAATTAGTGTGAGATAGAACTGTGTTGGTCTCTTGCACCGTGTCCACTGATGCAGAGAAAGTAGTCTGTATTTGCACAAGAAAGAGGAGAGTTTAAAAAGGTCTGGAAAACACTGCTGGGATGTTTCTGGATTTGGGAGGAAGAGGAGCCCAAAAGCAAAAGTCAGTAATTGTCACAGCTGAAATCCCATTAAATGAGGCTTTTTGCTGTCATTTAGTTGAAAGCTCTTGAGAAGCTGATAGCCACTGCTATCACTTCCCCTATGAAGGGGAAGGCCTACCTGCAACAGACTCCTTGTGAATGCTTAACAATCTGTTCTAGGAACCCAGGATTTCTTGCATTTCAGAGGGCAGGAGATCTTGTACCACTGCCCTCAGCAAGCCCATATCTCCTTAGGGAGGCCAGTTGGGACCTGTAAACAGGGAGGGCCTTGTTGGACACCCCAGACTCAGGGAGCCAGTTCCTGGCACAGGAGTGAGATGGGGACTTCAGCCTATCTCACTGGTGTCTGGGCACTGAAAAGCAGTGGTTTTTAAGCCAGCCTTTTCTACCACACACTTACAGGCAATCAGTGAGAGGAGGAATACCTGCTGATTTCCTGAAGGCAATGAAAGGAGTTGCTTTTTCAAACACGGCAGTGTGACTGTGTTCAAAATAAAATTACAAGAAGGCTTTTTGGCATGCTGTTCCATTTCCACAGGTCTGAATTTATTTTCCCCCTAAGACTTCCTCACAAAGTGAGGTGTTGGCCCAAATGAAATTGGTTGGAATTGCCCTGGTGACCCTGATAAAGCCAGGATTTTTACTTGCAGTATTCAAATTGAGTGATCATTCTGAAAACACGACACAACTGTACAAGAAAGGGAAAATAATTTTCAAATTACACCATAATCTGATTATCTGAAACAGAAGTAGAAATATTTCTAATAAGTTTTACAAAAAAATCCTACTCGTTGGGAGATCTTATACTTTCTTGCCAAAGCCTTCCTGCTACTAAGGAAATGCTTTGTCTTTAGCCATGACTCTGTAGGAAGAACAGTAAATCTGTATGAGGCTTTATATAGACTTTTTACAATTTGCATTTGAAATCTGTAGCACGTAAGATACATAATATGGCTGGAGTATTGTTAAGATGAGAAGGTGTGTGTAAATGGCTCATCATCTCTTCAGAAGAAAGGAAGAACAGCTATTTTGCTTGCAGGCACTTATTTTGAAAGAGCTTCTTGAACTCTGATGAATTTGTGGATAGCATCAGAAATGCATTTATATTAAGCCCTTAATTATAGCATTTTAAAATTAACTTTCTACTTGTTTTCTATAGACAAAGATAAGATAGTTGTCCTTTGGGAATCCTCCATCCCTCTCTAATGGAACTTACATTTGAACACATGCTGGCAGATGCAATTTTCTAGATTTCGTTTTTAAGCTTTGCACACAGTCAAGTTATGTGCTGCTTGGGGAACAGCAGTGTTTCAGGAGTAGCCCTGGCTGTTTCCAGTCTAACAACAATCAAGGGATTTCCTGGGAGATCATGCTGTGGATAAGTACAGAGGAAGGGTTTCAGTTCTACTGGAGGAAACACCTGGTGTTGACTCATGTTGGCAGCACCCATGTGCTGAACATCATGTCCAACAATTCAGCAGCCATGCAGAATTGAAAGGCATAAACTGCCATGGGAGACTGCTGCATGTGAAGGCAGCAGTGGAAAGTCCTGGGTGCAGGGCTGTTTCACATGAGCTGATATATGTGTATGTATTTCAGTGTTCCCTAGTCTCACTTTCTACTTATTGGTGGTTCTTTCAAGGGAGAAGCAACATTATTATTATTATTTTTTTTTAAGGATATAAGGATTATAGACTAATTTATTTATCTGTCTTTTACAAAGTCAGCAGCCTCAGGGGACTCAGGGGAGGTGGTGTGAGGCAGGACTCACAGATACACTAGAAGCACATGTGGAAATAATCTGCTTTCTTATGTCTTGTTCTGAGGAAGATACCATGCAATATGATAAATTCACACAGAGCTGGGATTTGACGCATTCAGTTTGTTTTTGTAGCATGACAGAATAAAAGTGAATAAAGAAACCAACTGGTATTTAGCTTAGAAATACTAAATTCTGCAGAAATGGCAGAGCATGGGGAGAGCACAATATAAAGGCATTCGCAGACATAAGGATATTGCCCTTTGCTTGCATTCTTCAGCTAAGGTGTGACATGTTCTCTTCTTACCCAGCAGGGCATGCTGCTAGTGATACTCACATCAGACCTCATTAGTGCTCAGGGAGAAGTGATGCAGAGGGGACAGAAATGAAGGTCAGAGATCTGGAATACGAGGAAAAGTAATCAGAAAAAAAGAGCCTTCATCACACACACGTGGTAGATAATAAACTGGCTGTGGGAGAGCTATTCAAGGATCACGGGAGTCCATAAGACCAGGTATACAGTCATAGCAACTATTTAAATGATTCCAATAAGTTGCTTATGCTGAAGGCCTTCCTAGGCATTATAAAGGAATTGTTTTGCTGCCTTAGAGTGGAGGCTATACAAATGGTCTACCTTTATTTCCTCTGTGCTTTGTAGAGTTGTTTCCTTACAATACATGCCACATACGCTGTTTTTCCTCCTCAGTGCTGGGGTGTGAGCAAGCTGGCTGACCATGCTTCAATGTAATTATCAAATATAACCTGAACATTTTCTATCACTCTCCTACATTTCACTCCATATAGTCTTTGTTGGCTCGTAATAAGATGACAAAGGGCTGACAGAGAGCAGGAGTCCCCAGATACATGTTTGAGGTGATGCTTTCTCTACACTTGCACTGTTTCCAAGGACAGCAGAAGCAAGGACCTGTGTTACCAACTACTCATGCCTATTTGATATGAATTGGGTGTGGGCTTAACATGCTTCCTTTCTTTTGGATTTGCTGGGGCACATGGGATGGCCATTGTGAATTCTGTAGTCCATATCACCTTTCTGCCAGCTGTGGGGGATGGATGATCCCAGGAGTGGTATGAAGACTGCTACTGTCTGGAGGAAATATAAACTGACAGAGTGAGTTCATACTGGGTCAGCTTTTCATGGTATTTTGGAGCTGCTATTATCAGCTTTAAAAATCATGGAAGTGCAGCATGAGATGTTTAAAATGTGGGGTTCCTTCCAGCTCATGACAGCCATTTTTGTTACCATTTACAGGCAGAATACTCCAACAGAGCCAAATGTGAAAGCTCAAACACTGCCGTAGATGCAGCTTTCCTCATTGTTTGTCCAGGAGTGAGATGTGGAAGGTAGCATTAACCCTTGTGATACGCACTGATTCACTCAGCCTGGCAGCCAGAATCAGATCTGAGGGCCAAGGGACCCTTTGCCCTGAGCACTCAGAGATCATGGGTACCAACCAGGGTTGGGGGCACTGGGAAAAAGCAGAGGCTTAAAACTGAAAGTCAGAGCACTAAAGGAGGATTGTGATTTGTAAAATCAGCTGAAAGATAGTGTGCTGTGCTGTGCTGATTCTTGCCAAGAAATTTTGAGTAATGCAATCTGCACTGGCAGGTTTGTGGTCACCAGTTGAAGGTGATTTTCAGGTAATGAAATGACTCCCAGCATCAGCAGTGCTGAGAGCAAGCACCTACTCTTGTTCACCTAAGAAAGTTGGCATTCAGTGTTCTGCATCTGCTTTTGTAAGAAAAAGGAAAGTTTCTTGTCAGCACTATTTAAAAAAAAAAAAAAAGTGAAATTAATTGAACTGTGGCTAGTGACTTCATGTAGGGGAGCATTGTCACAGATTGAAACTTAGAACTATGCAACACAGAAAGGATCTACAGGTTACAGTAGGGCTGATGGATTAGCAAAGATCCCCTATCCATAATTTCATCGAGCTGGGACAGACAG